GGGTGATGCGTCGGTATAAGTTAAAAGAAAAACATACACACACACATTCACAATACATACGCATACACTGTTACTAAAGGCGAACGGAAGATTATTAGAGGGCACAAGTTCTACGTGTAAAACTTTTGTCGGCCGTTAAACAGACAGGAATTAGTTGCGGCCTTTTTCCTTGTTCATTTTCGCTGACTTTTATGCGTTGTTCGTACCACGTTAATTTTACCGCGAACGGGAACCTTCTTCTTCGTATCAGTCGACACACTGTTGCCAGTTTGTCATAAAAACACCTGTTGTCCTTACGTGTAACGTAAATGAACCACATACAACCGAACAAATAACGATGTCCTGCTTTTGAATATACCTACCATCCTATTATTCAGAATTATACTTAGAAGGACACAGTACCTTCAAAACAATTCTGGATCATCACCATCATTTGCCTGTTTCACGATCTGGCACTATAGTACAGTCATTTGGTAGTTTTGCCAGGAAAGTTTTGATAAAAAATATGGGGATACCTCGTTAAAAAAAAGCGCGCCGCTTACTCTACCTCAAGGTGGTGTGGAAATGAGTTTTTTTGGCCAAAATGTGTGTTGGAGTACACTTTGCGGCGCTCGTACGCCTAAACTATTAACTTTATGAAAAAAAGGTAGATACATAAATTGTAGGTAATTGTCTCTAGTTTCATTTTGTGTATAACTGTTTTTATCGTAAAATGAGTCAGAAAGGAGATATTGTCAAAAAACTACTTTTTGGCGCCATTTTTCCAGTATGGCGGCGCGAGCGGCAAAAATACGAGCTGGCAAAGTTGAAATTCGGAAAGAGCACACCAAAATCTATAAAATTACCAGTTTTCAAAACTCCCGGAAAACTTTCCAGGTAACCACTATTTTTCGAACCAAATGACTGTACTACTACGATTTTCTAAGAACTTAAAGAGTTCCAGTATCAAATAGAAATGAATCCAAAAAAGATGACGCTTTGAGAGACAGATTTAATCATTTGTTCTTCTACATGAAAAACATATTAATTATTTTTACAAACCGGAGCACCAAGAGCATGCTGGAGGTCCTGTACTTCAATCAGTCGGAGGTACATATACTTCATCATCATAAGGTCGTCAGTCCTAAGACTGGTTGGACACGCACCTACCTAATAAGATTTATTCATTAATAATTGTTAAATGATGAAGCCTCCAAAAATGGTTTTCTGATTTTCTGACAAAATATGAAGAAAAATATATTTCTTTATATCTGAAAGCTAAAAATATAGAACCAGGAGACAACGATATTATTTGACAACGTTGTCGATGCGGAGGTCCATTTGAAACGATCCAGGTCTTCAGTCGGAGACACGCAGGTATAGAGAGGCGTTAACGATATGTTGTCTTTCATAAATTATTCTTTGGTCATTCGGACCCGTTCAGGTTAATTTTCTGTGCAAACATTTAAAAAAGTTAATTTATCAGAACTTTAGTATCACTTGAAAGCTACTGGTGTTTTGATGATTTTCTTGGACAGGGGACGTAGAACTAATGATATTCTTAACTTAAATGATGATGCGAGAACAAACCGATAAAGCCGAAGCCGACAAATCTAGGGTAACTTCTACCTAAAAGATGCGGAAAGTGTGCCCATTGTATCCTATGGATAGGTAAGAAAAAACCCACCTAAAAGATACCACAGATAGATTATATTCTAATAAACGATGCCTGTAATCCGCAAGATAAATATCCACCGATGAAATAATATTAGACAGTCTGCATATTTAAGTGGATAATCAATGAATCATTATCAAATAATACACGATAACCATACCACTGGAAGACTGAAGCTTATTAGCAAGCCATTTAGCATCTTATCGGGCGTTCAGTAGCTTAGGATGTACCTTCAGTATTAGGGCTAACTATGGTAACAGTAACAGTTAATCCAATTAGTATAGGGAACGGTCTCACATAATTACAGTATAGTATCCCTTTTCTCCCGTCTCATCACCGTGGGCTGGTGACATTCGAGATTATTTCATGGAGCGCCTTTGTGGAATATAAAGCACTGCGTTCATGTCGATTTATTCGATGATTGTTCTCATTACATTGAAGAACGTGAATCTAATGTTTAGTTAGTTCAAACACACCTTCACCCTTTACATAAATGAATGATACGTATTTTTCATTGATAAACGTTGTTTGTCTTTAATTTTGTATGCATTAAAGAGTAGATACTACTTATATTGTATAATGCTTTTTTAATAAACTAAATTTTATTCAGTGTAATATAACGTTGTTTCCGACGAAGAATAATAATTCTTCCTCTTGTGCATGTTGAGGCGTTGAAGTCTTAAACGGTCGAGCAGTTAAACATTTCGTTCTTTTTTTGTTCAAAAAGGGCCGACTGGCGCCGTGAAAGGAGCTAATTTATTAATTATCTTCACAAATAACCTCATCCTCGTACGAGCGATGTGTTATTGTTGTTGCCGTTTTGGCCGCCACCATTCTCTCAATCTCATTTCGTCCGACAAGACTTATATTTATTAGAAGAGGGTCAACCGTCGCTGATGCCTCAACAATAACACACCTACTTTTTCATTCGTTTCTGATGATCTCTGTAGTAAATGATGCAAAGAAATATGGGTTAAGTTACATGTATTTTAAAGCGAAAAGTTCTTGAGTTCTCATTAATTCTATAACAATTGCTATTTTTAAAAACTGAATATTACTTATAATAGATATAAATTTTGTACGTGGTTGCTATAGGTATCTGGAGTCAAGAGAAGGATTATAATTCCCCAGGATATGCAAAACCTTTTTTATTTTTTAGTCCGTAATTTACGGTATATTATAACAAAGCACATTAAAGTCTATTTAATCTTTGTGTAGAATTTGGAAAAATGTTAGATTTTGATTTAATGAACTTTATATTTTAGGTGTACCTACAGTATACATATTCCAATTGGTGGAGACAACTGATGTTGTTCTGATACGGGTCTAAAGGCTGTCGTCAATTGAAGTTGCTTTTCAACGTTTCGCTTGCACGAGTGGCGAGCTTCTTCAGAGGTCCTTCCATCTCCGATGTTGCATCGAATATGGAAGGACCTCCAATAATTTTACTGTTATTTATTATATGTTTGTTTTATTAACAAAACAGGGGAGAGGACTACCAGTGAGCACCAGGTGCTGCATGAAGATAGATATAAATATGTAGATATAGCATAAGTAGTTGATACCTACATTTAAGAAAATGTGAAACTAAAGTACAAATGAATCCTTCACCGATGGGTTGAGGCCCTTGGTGTTGAAAGTTTCTATTGTACGTGGTGCGGGAAAAAGGGTGGTTATCTATTTTATATCTTTAAAAGTCTGAACTCTGCATGTAACTATTAGGTATAAGAACGAAAAAATATTTTATACTTAGAATACAAGGACATCGAAAGGAACTAAAGAATCTACCAACGAGGAACAGTTTTAACGAGGGACCGACGTGAAGATAGATATAAATAAGTACATATAGTATAAGTAGTTGATACCTACATTTAAGAAAATGTGAAACAGGTACGAACAAGTCCATCACTAATGGGTTGACGCCCTTAGCGTTGAGAATTTGTATTGTACGTGGTGCATAAAAAAGGTGTTACCAATTACATTTCTTTATAAGTCTGTACCTAGTGTGTATCCTAGCGTTAGGTATAAGAACGAAAAAATATTTTATGCTTAGAATACGAGGACATCGAGAGGACCTAAAGAATCTACCAACGAAGAACAGTATTAACGAGGGACCGACGTGAAGATTGATATAAATATGTAGATATAGCATAAGTAGTTGATATCTACATCTAAGAAAATGTGAAACTAAGGTACGAATGAATCCATCACTGATGGGTTGAGGCCCTCAGCGTTGAGAATTTCTATTGTACCTGGTGCACAAATAAGGTGTTATCAATTACATTTCTTTATAAGTCTGTACCTACTGTGTAAGCTAGCGTTAAGTATAAGAACGAAAAGATATTTTATATTTAGAATGCGAGGACATCGAATGAACCGAAATAGTTTTAATGAAGGATCGACATGAAGATAGATATAAATATGTACATACAGTATATGTAGTTGATACCTACATTTAAGAAAATGTGAAACTAAAGTACGAACGAATCCATCACTGATGGGTTGAGGCCCTTAGTGTTGAGAATTTGTATTGTACCTGGTGCAGAAAAAATGTTACCAATTACATTTCTTTATAAGTCTGTACCTAATCTGTATCCTAGCGTTCGAGATAATCATGAAAAGATATTTTTTTAAGCAGTAAGATTAATTTTGTACTATAATCGATAGCGATAGGTAGGCACTTAAACTAATCTCAATGGTAACAGATTAATTGTTTTCTTGTTAGTGATCTATCTTAAAATCAATAAAACACCTATACACAATTATGAAAAACACTTGAATTTCCTAGCGTTTTCACATTTAATGTTATCACAAGCACCAGTTTTTTACAAATATATTTAAGTGATTATATAGTGGGGAAGTGTATTTGTTCGACACCCGAGCGACGCGATCGTTTAATTGAATTCGATTTTAAAACAAATCGAAAGCGTGCGCAATTTATTAAGAAGGAGACATTAAATATTATTCCATCAGCGTAGACCACTTTATAATGCAAGTACACATACTTGTGACAACCATGACAGGATAAATTCGATTATTTTTGCAACCGCTGCCGCAAAGGGTTGGTATACCTACCGAACCAAACCCAAAAATGAAGCGTCTGCAAGTCTGGTGGGGCGGGGACTTTTCGAAATTACTTTAGTCTCTCCACCCATTAGCAGTCATGAGACCATAAAAACAGGTTTAAACAACTCCCAGAACAGGATTTAAGCCAATGAAAACGCTTTAAGGTGTGGCAAAATAAGCGGTACCCTGAAGGGTAGCGAAACCTGTCGGTTGAAAGGAGAAGCTAAATCCCAAGCCAACTATTATATGATTATTCTTCATTATAGTACCTACGCTCGTAGGAAGTAGATGGGTGATGTTGAGGAGCAATTTTCGACGAAAAAAACGACATACACAGTCAATTTCGTGTAATTTGGTTTCGGGTTAATCTTCGAATGGTTTTATGCAATTATAGTGTGAATTACACATATTATCGAAGTTGAATGCAGTCAATTACTCCTGCTCCTTGATTAATATTATTAAACTGTTCGGACCGAGTTAAATTGTTCAAATTACGAATTGTTATCTTTAAATTGCTGTAATGCACTGTTACTACCGCGAACGTGGGCTATTTTCGTGAACTTTGAATGAAACTCTTTGGTGTTAATCCAAGTGAAAATCCTAGTGACCCATCAAGTTTCTTCAACTAAGAGACAATTTTTCCGAAGTTTTCGCCTTCCATAATCACGTGTAGGAAGTTACGTTTTTGTTATTTTACAACAATTTTTTTGGATCCAAGTTCTACAACAAGGACGAAGGACGAAGATTCTTTGAAGATCCCCAGAGATTTTCCAAGTGAAAGAACGAAGTCTTAAAAGCTACCCAAAGTGCGCTCAAAATAAATTTGCAAGCTTGGATTCCAAGGATAGCTTTATATCGTAAAAGCTTGCGGGGTGCTTTTGAAAAAGCTTGAGGATATGTCTAGTGTAATGTTCATGCACCACCCTAATTTTGCTTTTTACTGCAAACGTTACCAGTGAGAAGCAAGAATTTGAGGAAACAGATCACAAATCTCAGGAATGCAAATTCTGCTCAATCAACTTTGTGATAGCTAACGACTAAACGATTCTGTACAAAACTGAACAATCACGGCAAGCGTTCTAAAGGTGAAAAATATCGTGTGGTGGTTTGCCCGTCGGTTACCCAAAGTGTTTTTTGACTGCAGCAAGTGATCACATCCTTCAAGATTGCAGGGACATACTTTGGCCATCATCACCATTACCATCATCATCAGGCCAATCTGAACCTGAGCGTCTATGACCCTCTGTTGAAACTAAACGAGCTTTTAAACGTGGTCAAGACGCCTCCCAATTTTATCAAAGTGGACAGCAAGCCGTTTACGACGTTGAACTTCACAGATTTGGGCTCCCCGTTTGGGGGCCCGAACGAAGATCCACCAGGAACACCCGCGATGTCGGGCGACGGTCATTTAGGCCCCCCGACACCTCACGATAGCAACAATTCGACACCGGTGTCGAAAAGTGCATTTATTGAATTGCAACAACACGGATATGGCCCGTTAAGGACGACGTATCAACACCCGTTCAACTCTCCGGCGGGTAACGCGCACTCTGGACCCCCGGGAGGTCATGATACAGGATTCCCCAGTCCTAGGGGAGCTCTTAGCGCTTATCCGTTTCCGCCGATGCACCAAAACACATACAGCGGGTATCATCTCGGATCCTATGCTGCTAACTGTCCGCCCTCTCCCAAGGATGAAGGTATAGTTCTCCTTTTAAATCTTTTCCACTGAATTACATCTATATCTCTTTAATTACTTATGTTAGTACAACTCCTCAATCTGAAAATTATCTTACGATAACTGATAATTCGTTATCGCCTTGGGGGAAGTTATTTCTTTCAGTGGCTGTATGATGAACTGAAGAAGAGGTTTAAACTGTAGGCGCAATATTAAACTAACAGAAGGTTTTTAAAATGTACCCTTTTATAAACCTATTGGAGTGTTTTAAAGGAAATTTCTGAATCGACGATTTAAAACGTTATTTAGACAAAAGCATGCAAATGGCAAAAATCTGTGGGTATATCATAATTTTCTGTTTAAGTTTGTGAATAACATTACATCGAAAAGAAAGAAAAGTCTTATAACTTTATCCAATCTTTCCTTCAGTCAAAGAGAAACTTAGGTACTCCTTTTGAAAATGACGGACGGCAAAGTCTTATGGTCGGTTCAATTAGTAATTTTATGATTCAACCATATTCGATAGGGGCACTGAGATATTTGAAACAATAGGTCGACCTATTGTATAATATATTTATGATTAAGAACGAATATGTTTCATACAGTACTCATAAGATAAGTGTATAAAATCCTAATTGAATGCATTGCCAATGATTGTTGTTTCAAAGCAGATATTATGAAGTGGCGAAAAATAAATTTAAAAAAAGGGCTTTTCCATTTGGAGGTAATGATAATACTTGAGACATCGAGCACTCATCCAACACAGTCATAAAATATAAACCATTTCGGTTACACATGAATTAGTACACAGAAGTAGCAATAATTAACACACCTTTCAGTATTCTGCCACCTTCCATTACTTTTTTTAAACGACGTGATTATGATGATGAGCTTTATGACGATTTATCTGATAATAGTTCTCATCACATTGAGGAACGCGAATCTAATTTTCTGTTCTTGTTTAGTTAGTTCAAACAAACCTTTACACTTTACAGAAGTGAATGATACACATTTTTCATTGATTGAAGAAGAAGAATTAATTTTACAGGCTGTTGAAATAATAATGAATATATTTTAGATGCAAATCATAAAATAAGTGCAAAAATCCTAATGAAATATAGATAACTATCAAGAATTGTTGTATCAAAGCAATTTAAGAAAAACCACTTCGTTCTTTTGGAGATAATAACGAGACTTTTAATTTGAGACATTGCCCACTCTTCTAAGTTGTCTACATCAAGAGTAATCTACTGATACCTGATGATGGACCTTAACTACAGATATGTTTTCGTTATTATCGGTTAAACAAACATTCAGCCGGACAATCAAAATCTACATTTAACAATAAGGCATTAGCTGACGCTTAAGTACCAATAAGCCTTATTTGATATGTAACACACTCTTCGCTGGGCCTACGAAGGGATTTAGTGATATAGATGGTCAAAATAATCAATACCGATTTATTCTTACATCACAAATTATGTTTAAGGGATCTCTATTAGGAGAAGTCTTTATTACTAGAATACTGGACTGTTTCGAATAAAATATTAAACTGACAGTTTCATGTGTTGACAAAACATTTCGTATAATTTATGTTATTGAAAGTACGATTAATAAAAGCGCACAGGTAGAACTTGCAGAATTCACTTAGGCAAATCAGAGCAATTTACCTTGTCAGTTTATGGCACAAACGTTCGTTTCAATTGGAATAAATGCCAATTGAAATTATCCATATACATATATAAACACCCATACAGCTATACTTTTATGGTTATTTATGCCGAGTCTATATTCATATACGCATCTAATGAGTAGGTATTTAGATATTACTTTCGTGGCAAGGTATATAGATACGTATAGAGTTACTGCACATGTACCTGCCTCGAATTGACACCGACGGTGGTGCGTTCAATTAAGTTTCAAGATTTGCCGTGAATAATCTGATCAATTTAGTTGATTATTGTAAACACGCGCCTAATTACATTAAATTGGCTTACTTACTACTAATACCGATGCTCAATTTAATCGCAGTGAACTCCAGATGGGTTAGAAAAACATAACTGGATAAATAACGGATAATATTGATTCGAGTATTACTTACCGATTGCTTCATCTTACGAAGTAGCTGAAACAAAAAAAAAACGGAGAAAATTAATTACAATATGGCACTTATAATTAGATACGTAATATATGTCTAAATATAGGTGACTGATTTCTTAATTAAACAAACTTTGTTTTATATTATTAGAAAGGTACCTTTTTGAAACTATTCGTACTATAAACTAGCCGAAACTCTTACTAACCACTGACATTTTTCAATAATTTTATAAGATATGCAATGGAATTGTGAAGGAAGGGTAGACGCCCAACAGCTTTTGTTTTTAATAAAAAAGATTCTTTGAAAGTAAAAGGGTTAAATATTTATTTAACTAATTAATATTAAAGTAATAGGTATTTTGTAAACTATTAGGAAGAAAAACATCACACATGAAATTTATCGGTTAATTCATATTAGATTTAAAGAAATTAAGGCAAAATATTATAATTTGTAATAGTATTTTGAATAAGTCGTCAGTTTATGTTTAACAAAGAGGGAACAGGTACCTTTTGAATTAATAAACGAGAAGGTCGAGGAAAAACCACAGACGTTTTCATTACAAACGCGAAAATCAATAGGGAATGTATTAATAGCAGCTACCTACTGACGTAAAACAAGCAACATACTGTACGTAGAGCAAGAAGCATTCAAAATTTCCGCGCAAATTAGAATTCCCAACCATTACAGTTGAGGAGGTAAAAATTGGATTGTTGTGTTTGGAGCTTCATTAAATAATGAACTAGGATGAAAGCATTGTGAAATTGTGGTAACAAAAAATTACGTAGAAAGATTGACAAAACTGAAAAGAAAAATGTATACGTAGATATACCTATTACCTGTAGAAAAAGTAAGATTTCAAAAACATGTAAGACAAAACGTTCAGAGAACATAGAAATTACAAATTCCTTTGACGGATTTTTTTCTTTTTGTGTCGTGCCAGTGAAAATCAATAATTTGAAGAGCGTGTGGAATATACTTCTTCAACTACGTCTATTTGAAAATGTCTCCCGCTTCTCTGAAAACAGTCCTAAATGAGCCAAGCTTTCAAAATCTTTCAAAGCGTAAAACAACCTTTAGCAGCTTTAAATAGTATTTATTGGACTTATGTTCCCTTATTATTACTTACGAATTAGAACGATTAAAGAGAATATTAAAAGAATTGTACACTGGACAAAGATATTTTGAAATAAATAATCTGTAGGATACATTATTTACAGGTACATATTAATTTGATTGTATCCGTCGGACTTCGCCTGAGTCCTGTGCTTTTACTTGCAATAAATCTTCATTATTGTAGGTAGTTCTTTTATCTAAATTGTAAAATTTGACTAATTTATATATTAGTCCATCATCATGTCGTTAAAATATGATCTTTAAGAATGTAAACAAAAATCAAGCTTTAATAGTTTGAAATTTTCACTAAAAAAAAGAAGAATCGTTGAGGGAATACTTAATAAGTTAACGTTATCAGCGATATATGTAACCGATCTTCTCATACAAATCAAGTAAAGTATTACTTTCGTTCATTTTTTACTTTGTTTACAACCAAAGATATCCTTAAATGATAATACCTCATTATTTATCTACAATGTTACTGTCACCTATCATGCAACAGTTAATAAAGATCAAATACCACATTAAATAGCTTGAAATTGAATTCATCTGAAAATATTTTGACAACATATGAAGGCGGTACTGGTATGCAAGGGAAAAGCAGGGAAATAGCGAATATAAATAAGAAGAAGTGGCTCATTTTTGATATCTAGGAAATCAGAAAAGTCAGGATGGAAGGAGTAGTAGAGATATAAAACAGAGGAGAACGCAGGGTCTAGTCGTCTTCAATAAAAAGAAGTCACTTCTATGCTCAGGTTAGGAAAGAGAGGAGGTGCGTACCCAACCTGTCTTACGATTGACGACTTTATGATGATATTATGATGATGCAGACAGAAAGAGCGTCTTGTCTGTTATGACAAAATAAATTCACAAATTCTTTATTTTGAGGAGCTGGGCACGCACATTGTTCATACTGCAATATATTTATTCGCATTAACATTCAGAACAGCATATGTTAACATACGTAAGACATATTATTTGCTTGTGTTGTACGCAACGCATCTTAGCCATTTAACACGTATCTATATCCACGTACATAAGTGCCGTAATCATTTGGCAATTAGATATGCCAGTTTGACGGCCAAGTAACCCAGTAGTGGAACTTATCATTACCCCAATTTGAGCAATTGAGTAATAACAAGCTGTACCACTCCATATTGCTAATAATAAGGTATAAGTAGCGGCTAGGAAAAGGCTAACATCTTTATCTCTGCATGGTCTCTACTGTAAAAGCCTATTGGTAGGTAGATTGCAAAAGTTTGAAAGATCCAATCGAAAAGCACCCGTTTCTTAAAAGGTTTAGCGGTTCATTCACTTATAGGTTAAAGTCCTTCAAGAAAGAAAAAGTGGAAGCTCTGCCATACTTATGACCTAATATTACCTAAACGTAAACCTAGCTCTGTCCTGAGCTTTGTAAATTAAATACAATAATTGAGATTGTCAATTGGTTAGTATTGTCCCTTAAGAATAAATTTTTAAATTACTATTTATATACGCAATTGTAGACTTGTAACCACCAATAGTCACCTTCTCGGTGCAAAGAAGCAAAACAACAAAGTCTTCATTACCCTAGATAAAAATTTTCAGTCTCTCTCCAGTCTCTCAGAGTTTTTCAGAGTCTTTCAGCGTCTTTGAGAGCGTCTCTTACAGTCTTTCACAGTCTCTCAGTTATTGCCGAGGTGTTTTTATGGATCTCTCACAGTCTCTGTAAGAGAGACTCGAATGATAAAATTGTTAATTCAGAGATTCGAGTCTCTGATAGAGAGACTGAATGAATAAAACTGAAAAATTAAGAGACTCGAGTCTCTCGTAGAAAGACTGGGATCTCTGAAATATGTTGAACTTAGAACGATAAAATTGTTAATTCAGAGATTCGAGTCTCTGATAGAGAGACTGAATGAATAAAACTGAAAAATTGAGAGACTGGGATCTCTGAAATATGTTGAACTTAGAAAATTTTAACCATGTCTATCGAGAGACCACTTATTGAGAGATTCGAGTCTCTCGTTTAGAGACTGGATACGAAATGAGGATCTCTCTATGAGCGACTCGAATCTCTCATTCAGAGACGCTAAACAGTTTTTTTGACAGCCTCTCTCAGCGACATCGGAGAGATTCGATGAGAGACGGAGACTCGAGTTTCGCTTTCAGAGACTCTGAGAGACTGAACATTTTTATCTCGGGTACCAATATGCAGACTAAACAAACATCAACAGTAGAGATACCAAAGTAAGAGCAAGATCTACTTAAAAGATGCTAGACCAAGATGCTCCAAGTCTTGTTCTTTGTTTCACTGTAAATTACAAAAAAGCAAACCACCGAAATTTTTGAAACCGATACACAAACCAATACAATGATATAGCAGCAATACAAAAATAAGACCAAGATCTGCTATAAAGATACAGAACCAAGATCCTCCAAATGTGTTTATAAAACATCTTTTAATGTTGTCCTTCAATTTAATATATTGGTTGCAATCTGCAAATAAAACTACGTCAATAGATGATAGTGTGGTGAATGCATTGGTCCAAAACCTCTTTGGAAGTGCATGTTTTCTGTTTAACGAAAAATTTTGAAAATCCGATCTGCAGTTTTAAACCTTATCAAGGATAACGATACAGATAAGCTTTACTTGCTTATATGAATCATTAACATTGGTAGGTGTATGTGTAAAAAAGTATAATGCACTAATTAAACAGCAAATCAAATTAGAAATTTTAACCATTTGTCATTATCAACTGAGGATTGTTAGTCCGAAGACCAGTGTTGGACTCCTGGACTTCTCTACTCTTTTCTGTTAATAAAAACTGCAACATCCTGTTTGTGACCTTCATGTGCTTAATTATCCTGTCTTTTTGTTTCCTTGTTGACTTCTGCAGCACCCCTTGTTCTTCTACTTTTCTACTATCTCTTAATTTCTGACTTCCTTTACATCCACGGATTTTTATTATCTGTCAATCGCGTTTTAAATTCTTCTAATTTTTCCATTTTCTTCGAATTCCAAAATTAACAGTTCGCAAGGACAAATACGATTTGTTTTAGTCAATAGTGTTTCAACCCTGCACTTATTCTTGGTTGTATGTCTCTACCAACTACTTACTAAGCTATCAGACGTCGTATAAGGTAAGGAAAGTCGACCACCTTTTCAATTTTTATTAGGCCTCGAATACTTTCATTAGCTCTAAAGTATTCATATAAACATAAATAAATATGTAATGTAAATTATAATGTGGGAAAAGAAAACGCTTTATAAAATGAGTTCTCATTATCTGGGAAGCAGCTTTTAGGTTAGTTTATTAATAAGAAATACATGCGTTCTTAAAAAAAATATGCGACATGTAAACCATTATCTCATTCGTTATGGTTTACTTCGCTCATTTTCATAGTCAATCGATTATACATATTGGTACTACAGCGAACCTAACGGAAGACAACAACTGCATTTCCTGTTTGTGCTAGTTGATTAATTTAAAATCCCTTTTTCTTGACTGTGTAAATTTGCTGTGTGTTCACCTAACTACATTAGTTTGCCGTATCTTTGACACGGTTTTGTCAACAATGATTAATGGCAATAATAAAGTCCAGTGTTGTGTTCTAATTCTCTATACTATGTATAAATGCAGCTAAAAACGAATTATTATCAGTACCAAATGAGAGGAAATTAACTTTATATAATTCTGTAAAAGCATTGTATCTAGTTTATTATTTACATTATCTTATATCTTTTAATAACCATGGTCGGACATGAATTAATTTTCTTTCTCTTATTAAAAGTTTCTCCACTGTAAGAAAAAGGTCTCATTAGTAAACTGTGATTGTCTCTTTAGATAACGTAATTGTAAATATTTTCCTGATTTTATAATGAATTTGTGAATTTGAAGGTACAAATGGATGTTAATAGCTAACGTCTATTTTTAAAGAAACTGCTTCCGTATTTTAACATTGTAAATTAAAACTATTAACTATAATCGACTGGAATTTATAAGGGGCATACCAGAGAGGGATTTCTCTGTAGATTCCTAATGAGAACTTACCATGAAAAAAAATCATAAGAATACTAAAATGATGTATGCTTTTTATGAGCTTTTCATAAACATCTTATGAAGCAAATCTAACACATTTATAACTTTAGACAGAAATGGTAGTTGCTATCATCTGTCTTATGTAGATTTGGGGGTTTAGGGGTTCGATCAAGTAAACACCAAAAATAAGAACTCTATACGGTACTGATAATGATGAGAGAACGGTGAGACAAGGCCTTATATTCCCTTCATCTCGTTGGGATCCTAGCTGCCCCTCAAAATTCTAGTGTACCACTGTCATATTTGAAATTGTCTACAGAAGAAGAATATTAACATTAAAACCAATCTTGAAATAGCCTTGCACTATAAGGCAAATTGTTAGTATTAATTTGTTAATTAAACTGTTCTTTGCCCTCCAATCTGGTTTTGATTTTGACACAAACATTTTAAAATAAGGGTAAGAAGTGGGAATTTAACCGATTTCGATTTGTTACAGATAAATGCTTGTCGTTAGACAGACCGACGGCCGGCAGCAAAGGCAAGAAAATGCGAAAACCTCGGACTATCTACTCGAGTCTTCAACTCCAGCAGTTAAACCGACGGTTTCAGAGGACGCAGTATCTGGCATTGCCCGAAAGGGCCGAGCTTGCTGCTAGTTTAGGACTTACGCAAACACAGGTCGGTGTCCTTCGTTTTTTTTTTATTACAATGCCCAAAATATAATGAGATGTTCCATTCTAATTACGTCCAATTAATTAAGTGCTACAGTAATTTAAGTCACTAATGGTCCATATTAGGTAATGTATGGTTATATATAGAAAATGCAAAATTAAGTATACAATTTCGCTATTATATGCGACCTGACATTACAGACGGAGTCCTTATAAACGGTTAGATTTAAAATTGTACCTGTTTGTTGCTACAACAGAAGACGCTGCAGGTAAATGAAAGTTTTTACCTGGTTTAACATACAAATCCAATCCAAAGTACAAATTTCGCTGTCATGGAGTCGACGTTACAAGCGAACTCATTATAAACGGTCATGTTTACTTTTCTTTTGTCGAGAAGACTCCATACATACTTAAAGGCTTTTATATGAAGATGTTAAAAATAATGGAAAGAAAATGTTGGAAAAGATGAGGTATTAGAATGAGTAGGAGAACAGAGGGCGCTGTGGAAATCAAAAAGAAATATCCGAAATATAGACTGATATCAAACAATACAGATTAGATTATTGTTAGCAAATAAAGATTTAAATTGCCCTAGTTTTCGATAAATTCGAACATTGGCTCAAAATGGGAAGAAACAGTGATGCGTGCCCAACCACTCTTTGGGTTGAAGATATTATTATGATGAAAATTGCACCCTGCAGTACAAAAGCGTGGCATATACAGACACTTTGACAAAGAAACAAACCCCCGCTTTTATTGTTGGTTTCTCATTTTTCTAGGTAGTTCATGTTTCCGTGTTTGTCATGGTAAATGTAAAGTCACGAAACCTTTCATCTTTTTAATAAATTATAACATCGATTTGTTTTCGAGTAATCTTTACCCTAACGTTAGCCTCCTTGACAAGAGCAAACATTCTGTTTTTATTATAGCGATCGTTGAACGATAGATCTATGCATTTTTAAAGTTTAACAAAAAATAATCTTTTGCTTTATTCTGTACATCGAATTAAGCTTTATGATATAATATACGTAAAATTATAGAGTGACAAACTTATAACGGTGACGTTAAAAACTAGTAAATTAAATAATGTCTCGGAAATTATGACTTCACATGGTCAACAAGATTCAACTTCTATATCGTCTCGCAAAAAATCTATTTGCATCGTTTTATGTATCACCCTGTATAATATGTGTGAGGCTATTTAGGAAATGTATAAAATATTGTTATTTATAAATATTTATGACAGATTAGAGATTATGTAATGTCCCTGTCATGTCATAGAGAGCATTAGTTTTATACATTTCCTAGTACAATATCAGAATTTCATACAATTTCCAGGAATTGTATACAATTCCTACATTTTATAAATTTCCGGTAACATTTATACAGGTCTGTATATTTAAGAATAGTGTGTTAGTTATTTATCATTCGCGTCCGTTTTATAAGGTTTCAGTGGGCCGCGACGTTTCGTCTTTTAAAGCAACCTGTAAATCAGCCGTCGGAAGTCGTATATGTATATTTACAAGAGCAGCAATATTTTTTATAGCAGATATGCTGTTTGCATTATTATCACATATTATTAAAGACTCACTTCACGGCGGCTTACTTTGGCTTTTACTTTAAAATCAAAAAGGCCGTCTTATCTCAGTGAAGTAGTAGTAGAAATGTACATTTATGTATGAGGTAAACCTAAATCTTCTACATTCATTCACTTTTAGAAATATTAATCAATTTACGCGAACAAATGCTATGATTTAGTTCTAAGAACAATTAGCTATAAAGCTTTCATTTAATGTAGTGTGTAGAAGTAGTAATGTCAGAAGGGTGACTCTTGACTAGGGTTGCCACCCGTACTTTATTATAAAGTATTGTACTCTATTTCGACTGTGCGTACGTTATACTTTACCAGACACATAAAGTACGCAAAAATACTTTTATTTAAGGCCTTAAGTAAACACAGTAATTTTGTAAGCGATTATTCTAAATTCAGAGTATTTTTACATCAACAATATTGCACAGAAAAATGGCAAGCCATATTTACGGAACAACCTGATTTCCCGAATCTGTTCAAAGTAGTGTCACTTTTGCTATCCGTTCCGGCCACTTCAGCATTTATAGAAAGAGTATTCTCTGTTATGAAGACAAAGTGGCGGGACGACAGGAATAAAGCTTCATTAAAACTAATTAAAAATGGACTTTTAGTTTACTTAAATCTTTGTTTGCCATGTTTAGAGGCTATTAATGTATTTAAGAGCGACAGCAATTTGTTACTGGCTGGTAGGTGTAACAAAAAATATGTTTTTAAAAACAAAAAATAAAATACTTTATTTTTATGCTGAGTACATTTTTTTTTAACCATTTAGTCGAGAAATACTTTATGTAAAGCCTGAAAAGGTGGCAACCCTACTCCTGACGGTAAATGCCCCGATCTAGAGTGCATATAATTTTTCCCGCTCTAGGACATTTGGGCACAAGAAAAAGGCGACACTTTCGGAGTTCGCCGCGGGCGCTACTAACGCTACGTACGCCACTGCGTAGATGAAAAAATAGTGAGGCATAGTTGGAGCATTCAAAAGCCAAAACAGCACAATAACTGACGTGCACAAAGGCATACGTAAACTAAAGGAAGTCCTTGACTAATGACTAATGTTTTCAATAAAAATAATGCCGGAGCGTTGCCATAACCTTATTTCCAATCCAAAGAAAATACAAGTGTCCACTTACTTTCTAAGTTTGACATGATGTAATTAACGAAATGAAAGGCTTCAACGTTCTATGTACCCAAGTATGCATAAGCAACCGTATATCTGTAGAATAAAAACTATAGAATATTGCACCTGTGTATATGTTATAATAATGTACCTAAGGCGATTTTTAAACCTCCAAGCTGCTAGCTGGTGGACTCTGAATATACAGCAACATAATCCGCTAACAGTTCACTGTATGTGCAGAACAAGCACTCGAAAAACATAAAAAGTTTCTCGATTGATTCAATAGCAAACATACTATGACTATTTTAAATTCAGCCTTCTGGTCATTTATACAGTGTATCATTCAGGATCTAAAGTAGGTTGACGGTACAAAGATTCAATGAGATCTAAATTCAAATTTAGTTGTATATGAAAAGTAACAACAATGTGTGGTGTTATAGGTGGATGCTAAAAACGCTATTGATAGAAAGAGTACGAGAAATATTTAAGAAATAGGTGAGGTAGAACGGTGGACAACATTATAGGTAACTTAGAAACATGTATTGTTCAGATATCAAGAGGTAGATCTAGATTAGAATATTGTTAGCAAATTGTTAGACATGAAGTTTACTCTAGTTTTTGAGAAAGACAAACATTGACTCAAGATAGAAAATGTGGAATCTTTGAACTGAATAGCTTATAATAATTATATGAATACTATTTTGAGATTAGATGAAAATTTTGTTTTGTTTATTATCTGTTGTAGAAAATACGACAAATGGCACTGTAAACGCCATCTGTAGTACAGTGCTACATTTTAGGATTACGTATGCTTCAGCAAGGTCCATTTAAATGTATGGATATCTACTTGCTGAAACGAATCCCGGCGTAGCTCAATTCAACGTGGTAGGCACGTTACCATAATCGAATAAAATAATTCGAAGTGGTCTGTATTCTGTCTAAACTGCCAGACGCGGATCGCGATTTCGATCTTTTTGGATCTCATCAGCGTAAAACGCGCTGTTAACGCAGCAGGTAAAAGTTGGTCTGTGTTCTGTCGGAGCTGCCTGTGACGCGCTGATCTGTTGTATTTAGTTATTCTTAAACATGTAAATTATTCGATTTCGGGATTTTTCGGGTCTGTATTTAGTTTCAGAAAACATAAAAAATTTCCAGGTTGTGGAACTTCCAGTTACTGTTGAGTTTTTGTATAAAATATACGTATCTATATGTAAATGAAACTTGTTTTACAATTTTACGTTTTATCACAAATGATAAATACAAAATACACATACATGCGTGCACACACCAATAGCATTTTGTAAATTCTTTGAGGTGTAACAACGTTGAATTGCGTAACTTGTACAAATTCTCCTTTTAATATCGTCACAACGTAGGTGGCTTTAAGATAGGTACATACATTTACAAGTACCTATTTCTTTTTGCATGTATGTGTAGATATGTATATATACACGATAGAAATATATTAAATAATAAACAAACATGTATATGTGTCAAAAGTAACATGTTGCATTTGGAGACGGACAAAACAAACATTAATTAATATGTTCGATTGGCTGTCAAAGAGTCTTCACTATTTTTTCTTATATTCCATTGATTTGTTGTTTTGCTATCAACAAATTTTTTACATGTAATCTAACTAAATAATTAGCATCATTATCTGTGTGCAAGATCGCGAAATAAAGGGTCAAGGATAACGGGTTAAGTAAGCCAAACAAGGCATAGACATTACATGAAAGGCTTTTCACGACGATGACGTACGTATGCCGTTGTATCTTTACAAGCATGAGAATGAATGGAGTTGCCAGAAAAGTTGACGAAGAAGATTCTACCGAATTCTTAACAAACAAGAATCTTGTAAGATAAAATACATAGGAAATGTTAGCTAGGTATACACATATGAGGACATGTATTAAGAGAAAGTTGTTATTATTTATTATTTATGGTGATGAAACTTGTTGGAAAATATGGAAGTCAATAAAGAATATGTTAGATAGGTTGGTACGACATATGATCAGGCACGAAAGGCTAGTTAGGGACATATTAGAAGCAGAAATAGGAGTTAAGAAGAATATAGGTAGACCTAGATTAGATTACGTTCACAAATAGTTAAGGATGTGGGATGTTCTAATTTTAGGGAAAAGCGAAGATGAGATCAGGATAGGAAAAAGTGGAGGTGTGTGTTCAACCAGGCTTAGGACTGACGACCTTTTGATTGGTACTTTTCAATCTGTAGCAAGGAAGAGGTAGAGTTAGATTTAAATAAAAAGAAAATTAGTAGAAATTAGATAAAAAT